TATCACAATATAGAGTCAGCTATGTACTTCCTGGCCTGGGCCATAGTACGGTCTGGACACCAGGACCTGTGAATATTATATATCACAATATAGAGTCAGCTATGTACTTCCTGGCCTGGGCCATAGTACGGTCTGGACACCAGGACCTGTGAATATTATATATCACAATATAGAGTCAGCTATGTACTTCCTGGCCTGGGCCATAGTACGGTCTGGACACCAGGACCTGTGAATATTATATATCACAATATAGAGTCAGCTATGTACTTCCTGGCCTGGGCCATAGTACGGTCTGGACACCAGGACCTGTGAATATTATATATCACAATATAGAGTCAGCTATGTACTTCCTGGCCTGGGCCATAGTACGGTCTGGACACCAGGACCTGTGAATATTATATATCACAATATAGAGTCAGCTATGTACTTCCTGGCCTGGGCCATAGTACGGTCTGGACACCAGGACCTGTGAATATTATATATCACAATATAGAGTCAGCTATGTACTTCCTGGCCTGGGCCATAGTACGGTCTGGACACCAGGACCTGTGAATATTATATATCACAATATAGAGTCAGCTATGTACTTCCTGGCCTGGGCCATAGTACGGTCTGGACACCAGGACCTGTGAATATTATATATCACAATATAGAGTCAGCTATGTACTTCCTGGCCTGGGCCATAGTACGGTCTGGACACCAGGACCTGTGAATATTATATATCACAATATAGAGTCAGCTATGTACTTCCTGGCCTGGGCCATAGTACGGTCTGGACACCAGGACCTGTGAATATTATATATCACAATATAGAGTCAGCTATGTACTTCCTGGCCTGGGCCATAGTACGGTCTGGACACCAGGACCTGTGAATATTATATATCACAATATAGAGTCAGCTATGTACTTCCTGGCCTGGGCCATAGTACGGTCTGGACACCAGGACCTGTGAATATTATATATCACAATATAGAGTCAGCTATGTACTTCCTGGCCTGGGCCATAGTACGGTCTGGACACCAGGACCTGTGAATATTATATATCACAATATAGAGTCAGCTATGTACTTCCTGGCCTGGGCCATAGTACGGTCTGGACACCAGGACCTGTGAATATTATATATCACAATATAGAGTCAGCTATGTACTTCCTGGCCTGGGCCATAGTACGGTCTGGACACCAGGACCTGTGAATATTATATATCACAATATAGAGTCAGCTATGTACTTCCTGGCCTGGGCCATAGTACGGTCTGGACACCAGGACCTGTGAATATTATATATCACAATATAGAGTCAGCTATGTACTTCCTGGCCTGGGCCATAGTACGGTCTGGACACCAGGACCTGTGAATATTATATATCACAATATAGAGTCAGCTATGTACTTCCTGGCCTGGGCCATAGTACGGTCTGGACACCAGGACCTGTGAATATTATATATCACAATATAGAGTCAGCTATGTACTTCCTGGCCTGGGCCATAGTACGGTCTGGACACCAGGACCTGTGAATATTATATATCACAATATAGAGTCAGCTATGTACTTCCTGGCCTGGGCCATAGTACGGTCTGGACACCAGGACCTGTGAATATTATATATCACAATATAGAGTCAGCTATGTACTTCCTGGCCTGGGCCATAGTACGGTCTGGACACCAGGACCTGTGAATATTATATATCACAATATAGAGTCAGCTATGTACTTCCTGGCCTGGGCCATAGTACGGTCTGGACACCAGGACCTGTGAATATTATATATCACAATATAGAGTCAGCTATGTACTTCCTGGCCTGGGCCATAGTACGGTCTGGACACCAGGACCTGTGAATATTATATATCACAATATAGAGTCAGCTATGTACTTCCTGGCCTGGGCCATAGTACGGTCTGGACACCAGGACCTGTGAATATTATATATCACAATATAGAGTCAGCTATGTACTTCCTGGCCTGGGCCATAGTACGGTCTGGACACCAGGACCTGTGAATATTATATATCACAATATAGAGTCAGCTATGTACTTCCTGGCCTGGGCCATAGTACGGTCTGGACACCAGGACCTGTGAATATTATATATCACAATATAGAGTCAGCTATGTACTTCCTGGCCTGGGCCATAGTACGGTCTGGACACCAGGACCTGTGAATATTATATATCACAATATAGAGTCAGCTATGTACTTCCTGGCCTGGGCCATAGTACGGTCTGGACACCAGGACCTGTGAATATTATATATCACAATATAGAGTCAGCTATGTACTTCCTGGCCTGGGCCATAGTACGGTCTGGACACCAGGACCTGTGAATATTATATATCACAATATAGAGTCAGCTATGTACTTCCTGGCCTGGGCCATAGTACGGTCTGGACACCAGGACCTGTGAATATTATATATCACAATATAGAGTCAGCTATGTACTTCCTGGCCTGGGCCATAGTACGGTCTGGACACCAGGACCTGTGAATATTATATATCACAATATAGAGTCAGCTATGTACTTCCTGGCCTGGGCCATAGTACGGTCTGGACACCAGGACCTGTGAATATTATATATCACAATATAGAGTCAGCTATGTACTTCCTGGCCTGGGCCATAGTACGGTCTGGACACCAGGACCTGTGAATATTATATATCACAATATAGAGTCAGCTATGTACTTCCTGGCCTGGGCCATAGTACGGTCTGGACACCAGGACCTGTGAATATTATATATCACAATATAGAGTCAGCTATGTACTTCCTGGCCTGGGCCATAGTACGGTCTGGACACCAGGACCTGTGAATATTATATATCACAATATAGAGTCAGCTATGTACTTCCTGGCCTGGGCCATAGTACGGTCTGGACACCAGGACCTGTGAATATTATATATCACAATATAGAGTCAGCTATGTACTTCCTGGCCTGGGCCATAGTACGGTCTGGACACCAGGACCTGTGAATATTATATATCACAATATAGAGTCAGCTATGTACTTCCTGGCCTGGGCCATAGTACGGTCTGGACACCAGGACCTGTGAATATTATATATCACAATATAGAGTCAGCTATGTACTTCCTGGCCTGGGCCATAGTACGGTCTGGACACCAGGACCTGTGAATATTATATATCACAATATAGAGTCAGCTATGTACTTCCTGGCCTGGGCCATAGTACGGTCTGGACACCAGGACCTGTGAATATTATATATCACAATATAGAGTCAGCTATGTACTTCCTGGCCTGGGCCATAGTACGGTCTGGACACCAGGACCTGTGAATATTATATATCACAATATAGAGTCAGCTATGTACTTCCTGGCCTGGGCCATAGTACGGTCTGGACACCAGGACCTGTGAATATTATATATCACAATATAGAGTCAGCTATGTACTTCCTGGCCTGGGCCATAGTACGGTCTGGACACCAGGACCTGTGAATATTATATATCACAATATAGAGTCAGCTATGTACTTCCTGGCCTGGGCCATAGTACGGTCTGGACACCAGGACCTGTGAATATTATATATCACAATATAGAGTCAGCTATGTACTTCCTGGCCTGGGCCATAGTACGGTCTGGACACCAGGACCTGTGAATATTATATATCACAATATAGAGTCAGCTATGTACTTCCTGGCCTGGGCCATAGTACGGTCTGGACACCAGGACCTGTGAATATTATATATCACAATATAGAGTCAGCTATGTACTTCCTGGCCTGGGCCATAGTACGGTCTGGACACCAGGACCTGTGAATATTATATATCACAATATAGAGTCAGCTATGTACTTCCTGGCCTGGGCCATAGTACGGTCTGGACACCAGGACCTGTGAATATTATATATCACAATATAGAGTCAGCTATGTACTTCCTGGCCTGGGCCATAGTACGGTCTGGACACCAGGACCTGTGAATATTATATATCACAATATAGAGTCAGCTATGTACTTCCTGGCCTGGGCCATAGTACGGTCTGGACACCAGGACCTGTGAATATTATATATCACAATATAGAGTCAGCTATGTACTTCCTGGCCTGGGCCATAGTACGGTCTGGACACCAGGACCTGTGAATATTATATATCACAATATAGAGTCAGCTATGTACTTCCTGGCCTGGGCCATAGTACGGTCTGGACACCAGGACCTGTGAATATTATATATCACAATATAGAGTCAGCTATGTACTTCCTGGCCTGGGCCATAGTACGGTCTGGACACCAGGACCTGTGAATATTATATATCACAATATAGAGTCAGCTATGTACTTCCTGGCCTGGGCCATAGTACGGTCTGGACACCAGGACCTGTGAATATTATATATCACAATATAGAGTCAGCTATGTACTTCCTGGCCTGGGCCATAGTACGGTCTGGACACCAGGACCTGTGAATATTATATATCACAATATAGAGTCAGCTATGTACTTCCTGGCCTGGGCCATAGTACGGTCTGGACACCAGGACCTGTGAATATTATATATCACAATATAGAGTCAGCTATGTACTTCCTGGCCTGGGCCATAGTACGGTCTGGACACCAGGACCTGTGAATATTATATATCACAATATAGAGTCAGCTATGTACTTCCTGGCCTGGGCCATAGTACGGTCTGGACACCAGGACCTGTGAATATTATATATCACAATATAGAGTCAGCTATGTACTTCCTGGCCTGGGCCATAGTACGGTCTGGACACCAGGACCTGTGAATATTATATATCACAATATAGAGTCAGCTATGTACTTCCTGGCCTGGGCCATAGTACGGTCTGGACACCAGGACCTGTGAATATTATATATCACAATATAGAGTCAGCTATGTACTTCCTGGCCTGGGCCATAGTACGGTCTGGACACCNCGTCATGCTCGCGCTGCGGTCAAAGGTCGAAGGTCGCGACCTAACAGCATGGCCGCTCTGCATGGAAGTGTCACTAACTTGTGTATTGTAGATTTAGCGCCGTATTTCCATTATTTGGGATTTAAATGAAGAATTAACCTATGGGTTTAGTTGGATAAACTCCAGGACATATGTCTCTAAGGAAAAACGAAGTCTTAGGTAAGATTTAATGTAAAGTTATTGAAGAAAAGTAGATTCCGGTCATAGCAGACGATCGTGCAGCACATGTTTACATTGTTTCTAATGATTTTAAATAGCAGATTCGTGGCTCTTGTGACCCCCTTTGTTACAATATTTTTCAAGGTCCATGTATTACTTCTGACTGAGTTTTTTTTTTACCAGTACAAGCATTTTCCTCAAATGATCTGTGTAACTAATTTTGACTGAAATCTCCTACCTGAAGCACTGACCACATATTCAAAGATGGTCTCTTCTCCTTTGACAGGTGGCAAGTCAAGGTGGCTTTCATGTGACTTTAAGAACTCTTCCATCTTGGCTCTGTCTTCCAGCTCCAGTAGAGCTCCAATGCTCCACATCAAGGCAAAGATGAAGATTCTCTCCAGGTGGTTGGCACTGTAGTGAGCCTTGTCATGGTCAATAGCATGTATGATCAGCCCCTCCAACAAGTCACAGGTCTACAGAGATGGTTGAGAGAGAAAAAGAGAATTAAGCTTTAAAAATTTAGTTAGTTAAAGGGGAAAAAATGCAAAAGGAACCTTAAAAATAATTTTTGAAAGATAAAACTATACATAATTATATGTGTGCTGCATCAAGAAAAAAAGTGATCATCTTGCAGTTTTTTTATCATGCCATATAATTACATTTTAAGATCTTCAGGTGAGTGATTTTACTTGTAAGTTTAACTAAGTATTTGAGTAACAGAAAAAGTGTGTTATTAAAAGTACCAACTTCACCATATAAATGATACACAGAGGAATCATTTACCTGTCTTATCTGGTTGCACTGCAAGACCTCCATCTTTGACTCTAAGCTGACTGAGGCATAGTTGTAGATGTCATCAAAGATCTTGTCAAACAGCCCTTGGAGAATGTCAGCTTCAGCAGGTATACGGTTGTTCAGCCAGCCCTTTGAAAAACAAAATAGATTTAATGATCATTATTCACATGAATGAAAAAGTCTGCCATAGTACTTTCATTATAAAAACACCAGGGACACAAAGAATATATTTATCTATTAATAAAAATATTTTTTCTGTTTTCCATCATTTTGCTTTCCATTAATGTGCTTATGTAAATAAAGCAAATTATAAGAATGGTTATATTCTGATTATCACCTCCCAAAGAATTCTACACTTACAAATCTATAAATTATGGAAGAAAAACATAACCAACCCCTTGCATACATCTGCCTTATATCAAAAGATCTAAGTAATAACATACCTGTAGTATTGGCCTCCAGTCAAGAGCAGATGAACTCATGTAGACCATACCATTCCTAGATACTGTGGCAGGGGAAGCATTGTCAATGTTGTGTACCTCAAATATAATCTTACAGGTGGGAGACATGGGAATCCTGTCACCATTGGCCAGAGTGAGAGTCTTGTTGTCATCCAGTACCGAGTTCAAGTTCTCAATCCATATAGCATCTACAGGGCCATCCAACACTATCCAGATGTGCTCACCTGAAAAAGTTGACAAAAACAAATACATGCATGAACAAATATATTATATAAACAAACAAATTAATGAATGGATAAAAAATTGAACAATAAAGACTCAAATGCAGGTATGCCTCTTCTTCAAATACATGACCGTCTAAATTTATAGTCAAGGTAACAGTATTCAAACCATTGAGGTTCAGCCGAAAGAATTCACTATATTTTTCTAATATTGATAGAAAATATTTGTTGATGTCCTTAATGTACACCTCTGCTGTTCACAAAATAGATGTCTCAAAATATTCCCCACAGTTAAATATTCCCAACGGACACATTCCAAATGTAAAAAGATATACCTTTCTTAGCCTTCAGACTCCTCCTCCACAAAGTTGAGAAAATGCCATCAGTCCAGTCATTAGTGGCCACATCCAGTCTCCCAAACATCTGTGGAGCAGTGATGGCCTTAGGATTCATCCTCATCTCTCTGTGTGGGGCTCCACAGTCTGTCATTGCCTTCATTAATACATGAATACAGCAGCTTTTACCTGCTCCACTGGGACCTAGGGTCATCATACCATGACGCACATTCTGGGTCTCATACAGCTGGAAGTAGGTGATATAAATGTGTTCATTTATAGCACTTTTTCCAAAATGGGTGTTACATATCATTCTGTCCAGATCAATACTTCTAACCATCTTGGTCCAGTCATTATAATCCACAATGTTTGGTCTTGTGGTTGAGGGTTTAATCTTAATTTTTATCATTGTTTGTTGTAAACAAATAATGAAATTTTGTGTTGAACATTTATTAATAAGCAACTAGGAGTTTCTAAAGAATGCTAAGCAAAAAAAGAAGGAAAATTGTAGGCAGGAAGAAGCAGGGCCACTAGGAGAGGCATAAAATGAGATGTCACTGAAACTGCACTCTGTGATTAACAGGTTAAATTCCCCTCTGTAATTACGGTGCTATGTGAGCCAGTTATCTCACCTGAACAAGCTTCAGATTCCACGATGGATGATTGACTAGTTTGACATCATTGACTTCCTTCTCAATGGCCACCTGTAGCTCTTCATAGGTGGCATTGTCCAGTTGGATCCCAGGGAACAAGTCTCCAATCAGGCTGAGGAACAGGGGCTCGTCTTCATCAACCTTGAAGATAGGAACAAAGAATAGGCTTCACAAATGGCCAGTGCCTTTTTACAGAGAGATTATATGTGAAAAAAACTGAGCATGTTCTCAAGTTGACAAAGGCATTAGTATATAGCCAACCAACTCATAGACATGCTAAAAGCTAAACCATTTCAACCAAATGTCTCCAATATCTTTTGAACATGGATAGAAGGAATATCTCAATTGCTTACATTGTTCAATTATCAACCAGTTCATAATATGTAATGAACGTCTAATGACAAAATCATCTTACTAGTTTAGACAAGTTCATGTCTCTCAACACTCTCATGACAATAGTGCTCTCTGTCTCTGTTGGCCTGGCTCTCTTTTGAGCTCCTAACGTACGCAGCACAGACAGAATGTTCCTCAAGCCAAAATCATAATGAACCTGAAACAGAAAATATCACAAATGTTAGAATCTATGAATAGATGCAGAATTCCTCAAGGTTTGAGGGCACTGCATAACTAATGCATGCCTTGTTCTCAGAATAATTAATACCAGTAAATTTCATTTTATTTGACTTTCATCAAATTCTAGGCAGTTAAGTCTTATTTATATATCAAAAATATTTCTTTTTTATATGAAAAAGATGCAAACAAGTACCTGCTTTGAAAGTTGCTCTTCACAAAGTTTGTACAGGGTGTAAAACTTCTGGGCCAGGATAACATTTTCAATGAAACCACAAGAAGCTAACTTCACCCTCATAATGATCTACAAAAATATGAAAACAATATACATGGCCATTAATTTAAAGAAAAGGTGATTGCCAGATAATTTACAACTCTTAACTATAATTTGCATGGAATTAAATTACAAGAGAGCTACTTGAGGTATATTTCAAATAAACTAGAAGAACTCCCACCTGTCTGTCTGGTACCATCATGGCCACTGATCTGAACTGAATCTTCAAGTTTTCTGGGAGCTCTTGACGACCTGCATAACCTGGATTCTGAAAAGGTAAATAAATATATATTATTTTTCAAATATTTTTTCTACCATAAATTCCCCTAGACATATTTTGACCTAACTTAAAGTTGGATTCAATGAAAAAAATAACTATGTACTGAAAATTCAAATAAAAAGTATAAGCAAGTACTTATGAAAAGTAATTTAACGTAGTGTGTTTGCTATCGAAGATTCATTCGGCTGAAAAAATCAAAGCTGTCAGGGTTACAAAAAACATGTCAAACCATGGTGATGAAGAATCCAAACTCTGGGTTGAGATCCACAGTGTCTCCATCAGAGAAAATGAACTGCTTCTTCCTCTCTTTCCTGGCAGACAGGATGATGTGGATCTGCTGGGCAGCCACAGACAACACAGGGAGGTCAATACGGTTGAATTCATCAAAACAACCCCACGAGCCTGACTGTGCTAGACCTGGATTTGAAGAAACAAATTAAAATGAAATAAATAAATAAATGAATAAAAACTGCCCAACAGAAAGCAGGAAAGACTTAAACAAATATGAGTTTTGTAGCTCTCAAAATAAAGGCAAAATCAAAAGACTCCAAATATAAACCTTCACATTTTATTCTTAAAACATTCCACTTAGGGCGTATTCCCATAAATTTAGATCGATCTATCCCCATGGGGAGTCTCACTAGCTTACTGTCAGATAATTCGGCTTAAATGTCCGTCCCGCCTACTACAAGCTGTAAGGGGGTAATTAACTTCCGTGCCCGCTCGGCTGACAGCAATTTAGCGTGAAACCCCGGGGAGTTAGGTGGATCTAGTTTGGATCAGTCTAATCTCTGGGAATGGGGTCTTAGTCTCTTTCAAAGAGTCTATTGAAAATAATAAATATATTTTTCAACTGACAAATCAGCATATACATTTATTCAGTAACTTTGTTCTCATTCTCTAACTGCCTACCTTTATAAATCCTTCCCAGTCCCCTGAAGTCCATCTGATCTGAGCAGTTGAAGACGACCACATACTTTCCCAGTGCCTTGCCCATGTCTTTGGTGGTTTCAGTCTTGCCTGTGCCAGCTGGTCCTGCAGGGGCTCCACCCATGGACATACCCAGGGCCTGGGCCAGGGTGATGTAACACCTGGGACATAGCAATGAGCATGTTATACTCATACATGTATCATGATTGTGTTACAAAATAATCAAGATGATATAAAGAGCTTTTTGTTTATTTTGTTCATCTACGAAATGAATTCTGTGCAAAAGCCCAATAATGAGGCCACACAAGTCTAAAACTATTGATGACATAATTATTCTCCCTTTTCTATAAAAAAATGAATTAATTAAAAAAATAAAAAAAAATATATATATAAATAAAACAATAATACTAATAATAAATGAATAAATCAGACATCTTAATTAAATCAGAAAACAATTGTGACCGTTCATAACAAGTAATACAGACATCATCATTATCCATGTCCCTTAATATTTGGGAGTAGTCTTACCTGTCAGTGAGAGGTGTAATCACCAGCCTATCAGTACATCCCAGAGACTCATTCTGGTAGATAAAGTCCACATCAGTCACAGATACAATACACTGATCTGTGTCTTCCTTGAAATAAAACCTGGCTTGTTTCAGCCACTCAAAGTCGGCTGGGTTACGAATGTGCATTCTGGTCTAAAAAGAGATCGAGAAAAAGGGGTTAACTTGATTGTATCCTTGGTACTTAATGCTTGCAGGGTAATGGATTCCAGTGTATATTGAAATATTTTTTAAAAAGTGTTCCATAAATCAACCACAATTTGCTTCATAATTATATCAATAATTAATTGATTATTAAATGTATTTATCTTCATAGGATCTAAGTACAAAGTGGACCACACTCAAATAACTAAATCTTGAATAAAGATGTGATAAATACACAAGATTATTCAGTCAGTTAAATTTTCCTCACCAAATCATCAAATATATCCCTCTGGTGGACATGTATGGTGACCAGAGTCTCAAACTTGACCCTCTCCACTTTGGTCAGTTCATGGGTGGTCTGCTCAATGAGTTTGTTCAGGATGTCTAGGAACTTCTGGTTAGTTATCCCCATGATGGTCTTGTCATGTCTGGCATTGGTGAGAGCCTCCTCCGCGTCCCTGGTCCACAACATCTGGATACCCAGCAGGCCAACCTACACAGTAGAACACAGTAATAATCAGAGTAATATATAAGTACAGTTCCTTGTGAACATATATATATATATATATATATATATATATATGCTGACATGTGTGCTGGAGAGTATACATGTACACAGAACTGTAATCAACAGCTGAAATAAGCCCCCTCTGGCACAATACAATCTGTTAATATTTTACTAAATAATATAAATATCAATTTTTTCTTTTTTTATGACAAAATAATTCAATATGAAATATCTGACAGAATATCTGATAAAATATAATTTCAGAAAGTAGTTTATTATTATTATTATTATTATTATTATTATTAATATTATCATCATCATCATCATCAGATATTGTAGTATTATATCAGTTGCAAATGACACATGTATGTATGTATGTAATTAATTTAAACTTTCTTCTAAAATACCTGAGCAATGTAGTCATTGAGGAATTTAAGCATGTCAAATCCAGAGTCATTGATCACTCTGTCAGCCTCTCTGATGATAGCATGGAGAGACTTCTGTTGTTGAATAAGCAGCTCCATCAGCCAGGTCTCCACATTACCCTTGGCCATCACCTCTGTCTCTAGCTACAAGAAGAGAAGATTGAAAGCTGTAAGTTTAGATCAAGTGTTTATTGTGGTATAAAATTTGAAATACTTGTGTGTCAAATACAAGTTTGTCGTGTGATGTTGTGATATTGTCAAAGTTTTCTAAGATAATCTGTGATAAAAATTATAATAAAATGTAATCTGCTTTCCAAGGTGCATGTTTACTATTGCTAAAGATATAATGAGATAAAATCAAAATTAAAACAACAACCAACTTCTGGATACCAAACCAAACTAAGACCTAAAACATTCATCACATAAACATATCAGTAGGTCCAGAAGTTATTTCAGAATATCCTAGCTACCATAATTTTTTCTCCTTCTCTTGACACACAAGCCAATATCCTATCATAGTCTTTCTCATGGAATTCCACTTCATTCACATTTTCAAACACTCCCAGAAGATGAGCCTGGAAAAGCAAAGATATCATCTTAATATATACAAAATAAATTTAAAATAAAAGTCAATATGCATATCAAAACTGAGAAATGAGTGGAACCATGTTGGCCTCATGACAACATGTTTGTAGTTTTAAATCATTCCAGAGTATCAAACTGTCTACTCACCTGAATAGTATGTGAATCACTGGCTTGACCCAAGATTTCCAGTAAGGCTGGATCTGATACAAAGAAGAATCGAGGGAATAGCAGTCTCTTGCCTTCAAGATATCTGGAATTTGACACACACACATATAGTAAAGATAATCATAATGGTCAATAACCACTGTCACAGTGGAAAATAACATATTTCTACTTTTAGAATGGAAAACAATTTTTGTGAAGACTGAAATTTAAAAAGCAATGCTCATGTCAATTTCAATTTTTTCATTTTTCAATACCAAAGTTTTGTTCAACTAAATGATAATTCAAGTTATTAGTTATGTGTTGCAAATTAAATTCAACAGTTAATTGCAAATCACAATAAAATGATTTAACTGTATGGGCTTGCTTTGACATGTTTCAAAATTCCAATTGAACTTACCCAGTCAGTGACTTCTGACACAGTTCTAACTGTTCCAGTAAGTGAGGCAGTAGCTGGCCAAGTGTTTCATCTCCAACACAACACTGCACCACATTGGTGGTCTCATGGGCCCGCGTCATTATCTTCACCCAGGATTTGTCTATGTTTTGGAAACGTTTGGCTTCCTAAGCAAAATAAATGAATCATAACAAATTCTGTAGAGGCTTGCTTGCACTGAATGTTCTTAAAGAGTTTAATATTATTTTCAAAATAGAAAATATATCTTACTGGTATGCATAACATAACTGTACACCACAATTAAAACATATCAGTCATACTGTGCCTTACTACCATGGATCAAAATCATTACAACTTAAGAAGATGTACTGCCAAAAAAATTGGTATAAATTTAGAAACGAGTGCAGAATAATTCATCTTTCAGTGCTTATATTTCTTTGACAAAATCATCATTTTCACACATCGGTATAAATAAACCATTCACAAATTAAAAACTAAAATTGTTACAATAAATACTTTAAAATAAATATACCGTTGGCAACTGTTTAGCGATATCTCCTCCAACAAACACAGCTTCCAGGTAGACCCACAGGTTCTGTACAACCATCCAGTTCTCTATGATATCTGTGGTGTTGGACAGTTTGGACACCCACTCCTGGATATCCTTCTTAAATGGGGCATTGTACCTGGGTGAAGATACGACATCAATATATAGGGTTATAAAATACCATTCTTATAGTATTAAATCAAACTCCAGCTAAAAGAATGATTATATTTTGGCAAGCATGATCTAAGCTATTCCAAAATAACTAGTTAAACTGGCAAACATGGAAAGACACTAAGGCTTACAGAAATCTAAATTTGATCAGGTAGTCTTGGAGCTGTTATCAGACATCAACTTGCAACTTAACTTTAATTGTAGTCAATTCTATCAGTGTTTCACATCATACACAACCCACCTGTTGCTCAGCAGTGAGCTCAACACCATCAAGCTGTCTTCCATCAGAGCCACAATCTCCTGAATCTCTCCACCCTTCAGTAGCAGCTCACCGCGGTTCTTGAAGGGGGCAAAGCTCAACACCTGGTTGCTCCAGTCAGCCACCACCTGCTTCAGTTTGGCCTCTATGTCCTTCTCCTTCACTGCTGAGATACACACATCCTACAACACAGAGTACATATGATCATAACTTAGGTAATGAATTGTGAGGACTTTCCAATCAATAATACTATAAAAATCAAATTGGAAGATGCAAAAACCTACTTTTAACATTACAAAATTGTGAAACTTCTGCTATACAGTTAATTTTTCACATAAAAAACTGAATAAAAATAGATATTTTTCTCAGAATAATATCTATTTACAATAAGATAAAAAAAACTCACCTCAATATCTTCTTTGCTCTCTAGCAGTGGTGCCTCCATGATATTTCTGAGAGCAAAGTTTTCATTCTCCAGATCAAAGGTGTGTCCTGTCAGGTTAGCAATACGGTCCCAGTGCCTGTCCTTCATGGCTTTGTTAGCCATCATCTCCAGCAGGGGGCACGACTCACTAAAGTCATCTATCTTCTTCTTCAGGTCCAAGAAGGCCTGCCAGTCCTTCAGGGCTTTGGGAAGTTTGCGACACCTAAAAATTGAAAACAAAAATTGTGCAACTGCCCTTTAATATAAATGTCCTAACCTCACCGTGCATGATAAAGGAAGAGGAAATGTACATATTGTATGTAATGTGACCATACCTCTTCAAAAACATGGACCATTTTTTCATCTAAGAAACTACTTCATTAAAAAAAAAATGTGCATGTAAAAGTAGAAACATACCTGTGCTGGAAGACTATTATAAATGAAAAGGTTTTCCTTATATGGTGTTAACAAGAAAATGGCACAGCAAGGGCTACAATAGACACATGTAATGCCAATATGTCCAGACCCATGTAGTGCTTGTCAGTAACAACTTGGCAAAGAAGTAGAAACCCACCTGTTCTGGAAGTCCATCAGCTCCGCATTGATCTTCTCAATATCTACCTCTGTCCAGATGATGTCAAAGTACCCATTAATACTTGCCATCACAGCATTGTACAGTCCATACAGCTTCTGGAGCAGGGTCAGCTCTTTCTTGGTCTTGGCCAGGTCTGGGTAGTCTGTCACTGGCAGACCAAACAGCTGCTCCCCAGCTGAGTAGGTGTTGAACTTACGCCACAGGTCATCAAAGCGGTTCTACAACAAGACAAGAAGTGAACACTTTTAGTATCAATATACTCTGATTGCGTTCTCATTAGTTGGATATTACATGCACCTTACATACAAGAGTGTTGTTCACCCTTGGCAATATCACTTTAATTAAACATTGCCTGTAATATCAGTAATATAA